GCCCAAAAAAATCCAAAAAAAAAATCAAAAATCCTGAATCTACCTGATAAATTGTGGGTGTGATGTATGTGTGAATGCAAAAAGCTGAATTTTTCACTCTTACTTCACCCAAAAAAAAAAAGCCCCAAAGTAAATTTACGATGTAAAGTCGGGTTGAGCTGACGCCGCTGAATGCAGCAGGAAATATTCAGGAGGTGATGATGTTATATCCTGCAACAGGAGCATGACCATAGACAGTATAGCATGTGACCTATGTGATCTCCGTGCATGTAGTGAAACATTTTCATTATGTTTTCTGTCTGCCAGCATGTTCTTCTCTGCGCTTTTGTTGACGTCTATCTACACAGAGCATTGACGTAAAAGCAAAAAAAAAACTGTCTTCAGTTTAATCCGCCACTTTCACATTGTTCATTTTACATCATGTCTTACTTCCTGAGACCTTCCCCCTGTCAGAGAGGGATATTCTCACGCTGTGAGGGGCATGTGTAAACAACAAACCCAGGAAGATTTCAGGGGCAGCCTGCCTGAAAATTTTAGCTTAGACTTTAGAAAAACAGTTGACCTGGCAAGAAATGGCACAACTCGTAATAGTAAGAAATTAAAACATGTTGGTTTTGTTCTCCTATTATTGTGCAGTGTATACAATTAAAGTACAAAGGTTATTTTACATATTATGGCCAGCTAGTTAGACATGTGTTACCTTCAACCGGAGCCAGGCAACTATCTGTATTTCAATCAAAAAATCAGTATCGCCTGGTACAAAGAGCGATATTGGTCCGATTAGTTATTGTCCTCACGGGCACACACTGTATGGGAGGGTGAATTTTTTTTAATGACTCATACCTTTTGATTTCATGTGTCCTGCTGTCTTACAGGCCCCATAGAAATTAGAGGCACGCACAGATGGAGCACCACAAAGATAGTGGCTGGGATGAGTGTGATGTAAGTCTCTGAAACACAACAGTGAAACAACATGGTTTGTACCGAGTGATAAGAATGGATTCCATTGTGCAGTTGTTCATGGTGAAGACTGCCTTAGTTATAAAGAAAAGTAATTATGTTTGAACAATATGAGTGGTCATTTCTGGAGCCATGATGCTCTCATGTTAATGTTTGAACCATGTTGACAGATTTGAACTGTCTCTTTCAGTTTGCTGATTCTGACGATGATGAACCTGGGTCTGTTCTTCAAGTTGTGGGCGATGGAAGATGTAGCCAACCGCATGTACCTGACCACAAAGCATCGGCTGAGGGAGAGGAGTGTGGCCAGGTGGGATAACTTTCTCTTCCTATGCAACATGCACATCGTCTATTGATCACTGTCTGTCTTGGACTGGTACTGTTGCTCAGTGCTCAGAAAGCAGCAGTCTTTGTGTGGGTGGAGAGAGAGAGTGAAGGGGTCAGTACTTCTGGGTATTTTTTGTCTGTCCTTCAAGCAGCCCACATAAAATAGGGTTCGAGAGAACTCTTGGTGAATGACTCACGATACTGAAACGGCCTGTTTGTCTGCCTCAGTAAATAGGGTTATGTAAGTGACAGTCTTACATCAGTGCTCCTCCACTCTAAGTCCCCGTCTAACGTCAATTTGACTTTGTGTCTGTCTGTGTTTATATGTCTTCTACTACCTTTTTGCCTTAAATATAAATGCTGAAATGTGCACATGAGAAAAAAAATCTTCTTTCTGTTGTTTGGTAGCTGGACCCCTGAATATGGCCCCAGACAGGCACCTGGGTATAGAACCACAGAGGACATGCAACTGCTGAAAACTGTTCTGCAGGACTCCATCAACCTTTTAGAACAGGTAGGATGGGCTGTTTAAAACAGGAATGCACTACATAAAAAAAAAAAAAAAATGTTCTGAATCAAGCACTGATTGTTGTACTTGTGCAGAGTGCCGTACATCGTCATGATCTGTTTGCATATATTTAGAAAAAATGCGTCGGTGGTTGCAATATAAATCTTTGACACATTGATTGGACCAAACAAACTAAACATATCAGACGGACAGAAATCAGGACAAGCGCAAAGGCTGCGTCTTTTCACGGCCAGGTTTTTAAGTTCTGAAGGAGACTTTAAGTGCCTTGAACTGTGTCATTTAATGCTTGGTTTCCCATCTTCAGTAGATTTCTAGCTTTCACTAAGTGGGCACTGCCAACTGTGAGCTTCACTGCTGGTAGGGAGCCAGAAGGTTTTCTGCATCTCTAAAGTGGGGGCTTAAAACCTGATACGGATTTAAACGCTTATTCTTCATAAAATCAAAATGGATGAGTAATAATTTAAAAAAGCACAAGAGCGAAAGTCAAGAGCTTATAAGAACAATTTCGTTTTTTGTTTTTTTTTGTACCAGGCTGTAAACACAATTATTTATGCTGTAAAAATTGTCTTTTTGAATGAGTGTGTATGTGACGTCCGGGGCTTCTGCAGCCGGCCTCAAGTGGACATTCGATGAAAAGTTTTTTGCACTTCCGCATTGGCTTCATTTCATCATCGGAGATTGCCGCTTGGTCATATCTTGTTGATTTAATTCCTCAAAGTCTTTTTTAATTATTTCTTTCAGGGAGTGACTGGGCTTCCTTCAGTCTTGGCTGGTATAGTCTTACAGCTCAGAGCCAACAAGTTAGCAAGTTATCCTCGAAAAATACAAACCAATGTGTTTACACTTTGCTTTTTGTCTAGCTAGGCTAAATGTAAGCTCACCTTATAATTCATGTACAAATACCTTTTACTTTCCAACAGCGGGCAAATAAGTGATGTGCTGTGTTGTAGAAAACAGGAGTGGGTGCAATCTATTTATGCTTTAGAGGATGAAGGACGTGAAGTGTCATTCATCAAAGACGGCACAGCCCCTCTGCTATCACTTTTCTCCTTTAACACATAAATTCATCTCGTTTGTCAAAAGGTTTCAAAACATAAAGCGGGTGTTGTTTGTGTTTGTGATTTTTCTCACAGCTCCGCAACTCTCTGGTGGTGCTGCAGAAGAACTTTGCGTTGGCCAATCGTACAGCAGCACCACAGTGACACACCACACCTGGCGACCACAGAGTGCCCCCCCCCCGCCCCACCCACAACCCTCCCAGAGGAAACCTGTGGAGAAAACTGCACTTGTGAAGAGTCTCTGAGGAAATATCTGTTATCCAGTATCCAGTTTTTAAGCTGTGGACTGACTGCTGCTGGCACAAAGTTATATTTAAGTCAGCCCCAAAGAGGGCTGCGGGTTTAAATATTTGTAGGGTGCCATTGTCTGCTCCCTTAGTTGTTCCCTTTGAGTTTTTTCCCGAAAACTTTGTCCTGATGTGCCTTTTCTATATCCAGATGAGCCTCTTGCCACACCAAAAGAGCTATTGTAAATAGTTTTTTTTTTTTTTTTTAATTATTATTGAAGGGAAATGAATAACTCTTATTTAAAATGACTATTTTCTGTCGGATTTTCTTGCACAGTTTTAATTTTTGCACAAGCGCCTCATAGGTTAGTCTGTGTTTTTAGATATCTTTATGGAATTTATTATTTCAAATAAATATGGTAGGATCTGTTACTCAAATTTCCACATTGGTCCTGTTGTGTACAATGAGAAAACACAATTGTTTTGCATTCGTAAACTCCAGAGTGGTTGCAAGATTTAAGGGTCAAATTATGATAAAGTGCCCCTGACATCTTGAACATGTGTTTGATGAATTCATCTGTTGATTTTATCCGGGCTGATATCAGGGAATGTTTTGTAGTTTTAAGCAGGCCATATGATTTGTCTTCTTCAGCTGTACATTTTAAATAAGTGACGTGTGTTTTCATGCTCTCTTCCTTTTAAATTCATATTAAGCTTAGTAAGAAACGGTTTACTTTCAGTACTTTACCTCTCTGTTGTGTCAGTGAGACACTTGGGTTATCTCAGTACTGTTTTTACCAACTTTAAATGCAGGGCTGCCAAGAATATTTGCATTGATCATACAGTATGTTCTTGCTAAGTCGTCAATGTGTTTAAAATTGTATTTATGTAAATGTTTACCTATAAAGTACTCAGGGATGTGCCTTTTTGTTCATGACGCTTGAATTATTCTGAGCAAAATGATTTCACTTTAAGAGCTGGACTACAAAAGGTTACAGATAACACTTGTAGCAACTGTTCACTGTGTGTGCTGCTGCTGGAAACCGAAGCAGAAAACTTAATGGAGGTAAAGCCATGTGTCTTAGTTCCTCTTCAAAGGTGAAATACAATACTGTTGGGACTGTCTTTAATTATTTACTCGTGGTCTATCAGTTTTTACTTCAATAGAAAGCTGTAGATTTCTTCTGTAGTATTCTTATGCTAGATGATGTTGAGAATTACATTGTTAGCTTTGTAGTTAATTTTGAAATAACCCTGTTACTTGTTGTATACTGTAGAGATGCAAAGGAAGTCCACATAGGCTATACCAAAGAATTGGAATAGTATTTAACTTTTTAATATTATGAAATATATATAATTTACTTCTCTAAAATTGGAAGGTAAATACTTTTCATAAACTCCACTACAGCTTTAGTCCCTGGGTACTTCATCAAATAAGATTGTTCTTAAAAATCTTCTCCATTTGTTATCCTCCCAAAGTCTTTAGGAGCCAATTATAGCTATAAGTGACATTATAAAATTGCACTAATGCCTTGCACATTAAAATTCCCCAATGTAGCCACCAGAAAGAGGTATTTCATGAAGTTTTCACATAAGCCTACAAGGAACGAGTCTCTGTATTTTGGTGCACAACATTTAGACTACAATTAGCCTCCTTTCCACTATGGTTTTTTTCAAATATCTAGCCTAAAATTTAGTTTTTACAAGACACCTTTTACATTTGAGATATCCAAAATGACAAATCATTACAGGTAGGCTATCCATATATACAAATAACATGTATACCTACATTTGAGTGAGAAAAAGTTGTGTAATTTGACAAAGAGGACTTAAGATATCCGCTTGCTTCCTTAAGGTGTATTATGTGTCCTGGGCGGGGACAGTCCACATCAGCTGACGTCAGGAGGGGGGGGGGAACTGTGTGCTCAGTTTAGGGGCAGAGCCGCAGGACGTCTCCCTCGACGGCACAACACGAACCCGGACCCCTACAGAGACGTACTCCTGTAAACTCGGAAAGTTAAACACACAGTTATTGACGTGCATATGCTTTTATTGTGGTGAAAACAGGGCGTTAAGTCGCTGGTGTGAGACACACCGGATACGACACCGCGAGAAGACTTCCGATTAGGAGCCAGGCGGAGGGAAACAGTCGGCATGTAGCCACTCAGTGTTCAGGTATGTCGTGGCTGTGTTTCGGCAGCTCTTCTTTATATCCCGTAATATAATTTAGTCTTAATTTAAGGGTTGTATGCGGTATTCTGCCCCCGTGGGAGAGCGGTGTTTGATGGCAGGTAGGTGAACTGAGGCGAGTCGGTGATGAATCAGAAGACCAACAACCTGCAGCGTTCAACAGATTACAGCCAATTAAAGACTAATTAACTTCATACAAACATCCGCGAGTGACAGTGAGACTTTATTTCCACATTAATAATACAACAAGTCATGTAGTTTATGGGCGAACTGTATTGTAAAGTCCCTTTAAAATCCTTAAACTGAGCTTTACTGTCCAAGATTATTTATTATAATATTATTATTATTATTATTATATTTTTTCAAAGATCCGGTATTGATGCCCGCCAATAAAACCTGTCAAATGAACTGTAAAATAAATGTCAATGACATCTGATAACCTCCATTAATAATCCCAAATGACTGGTCTTTTGGGGGAGGTTATTGCAAATAAAACAGCAGGAGTGTGCCAAGATGCTCACAGTGGGTTCCTTGTGCCCCCCCCCCCTTCAGAAAATATTAAATCAATAGATTATTTTTTTCTTCTGCTAAAAAATAGTTATTCTGGTGATTAAACTGCCTCCATGGTGAATGAGAAATTATCATGGCTGTTACTGTGAGATGGACAATTAAAATTGATGGTGAGGTGATACAAGGTCAGTCGCATTGCGTGAATGGTTGAGACACCTTTTGAAATGTTAACGTGTGTTACCAACTCTTAAACAGTTCTGAACATTATTGTTGTTACTGTCTACCTGTGTTGATGTTAACCCTGTGCGTTGTCTTCTTAAAAATGTTGATTTCTCTGGAATCCATTTCATTTTAAACCTCTGTTGCTTCTTCTGCACTGTTTGGATATGATTAGAAAACCAACATAAGTGTTAGGGGTGTTGGTGGGCCTTTAAAAAAAATAAAAAATAAAGTAGAGCCGGGCTAGCTATTTCTCTGTTTCCTTTGTCTTAGAAAGTGGGCAGTCTGTAGGGACTTGGGTTGGGAACTGGTGGGTCGCCGGCTCAAGTCCCGGTGCGGCCCAAATATGGAAGTTGGTCTGGTAGCTGGAGAGGTGCCAGATCACTTCTTGAGCACCGCCGAGATGCGCCTGAGCAAGGCACTAAACCCCCTCCCCACCATCAACTCAGGAGCGCCCGCAGTGGGCAGCTCGGTCACTCCATTAGTGCATGTCCATAGGATCCTGTTTCTGCATGTGTGTGTATATTTCAGCCTATGTGTGTGTTGCATGAGTACAGAGTGTAAAAACAGAAATTTCCCCTTGCGGAGATCAATAATGTAAATCTTAATCTTAAAGCTATGCTACAGTTAGTTAACAGTCTCCTGGTTGCTGGCTAAACAACTTAAAACAATTTGTACCTTTTTCTTTATGTTGTTGCTGATTTTATCTTGTAAGTTTTATGGCTTCGGGACATGCATGTAATCATGGCTGCTACCTATTTGCCTTGAAATGCAGTGTTTATTTGTTAACCTTTTCAATTTTCCTGCAGCACTTGCAAGTCAACAGTTCTATATGCAGGACAGAAACTTCTCTGTGTAAAAACAGGACAGGACACAGGACGCCTGCTGAGCACCACAGTCATGCTGTGAATGCTTGCTGCATTATTCCTTTTATCTGTCAGGGAGCAGATGTGCTGCTTTTTGCTTGCGCACACTGACACAGCAGTATGTCCGTTCATTTAGCCCAATCTGCCCTCTCTTTATGAGCGTACAGACTGGGCTACAAGGCCAGCCCGAAGTGTCTCACCGGTTAGATGCTGGTGACCTTTCCTGACCCTGATGAAGCTTTTATGCTGCCAATTAGATCAGCAGCTAGCAAATTGTTATTAACACAACACACCATGTCATGCCATGATTTAGTGCTACCAGAGACTAGTTCAATGCCCTCAACCGCGATAGTTCACTTCAGAGTGAGATTTAAATGAAGGATTAATCTCACCCTGTGTGCCTTACAGAGTATCTTTCAGTCTTGCTGTCTCTGATGAGGGGGACAGTAAAAAGCCTGCAGTTGTTATAAATGCTGCTACCAAGCTGACCTCAGCCCAAATCCATGTGTGCCCTTTTAAACAAGCAGCAGGCTGAGACAGCTCAGCTGCTGTGAAATCATTAAGGCCTGACAGATGTGGGACAGATGTGAGGGTGGGAGGTGGACTGGGTATGGTCAAATGAACAGGGCCTACTTTGCAGTGTTGGGATGTGAGAATGTATTTGGAAAACCTCCACCATCTAAAACACACTCACAGAGCTGTTAAGCTGCTGCTATGTGAAAAAGGTCATTACAGCAAATGGGCTTTTAGCAGTATTTTATCTGCTGCATTAGTTGAGACTGAGCTCAGTTTGATCCATCACACTAATGCTCACTAAAGTTCAGTTTTTTTTTTAGACTCAGATAGACTGTCTGCCATGAAGAAGAGATCCAAAAAGGTGCTGGAGGAGGAGAGGTTGTGCTGCTGTGAGTATGTGAACAGACATGGAGATCGCAGCCATGTAGCCGCCTGCTTCTGTGACTGCGAGGACCTGGACGATGCCTGCGACAGGTGAGAAACAATCATTTGACAAACCTGCATAGATGATTATTTTGATTGACGATTTTTCTTCTTTCCAGGCAGGTACACGATACATTTTAGTGTTCAAAGAGTCTTTGTCATTAAAGCACAGCTGTACAAAATGACAGCCTCACAGAGCTGCAAGCTTTGTTTATTTAGTTAAGTTTGTATACCACTTTTCTCAAGTCACCGCTGAGTTGTAGTGAACCGTTTACTGTGGTCAAACAGACAGGTATAGGATATATTTGAATGCAGCCAGTGCACTGCTTGAACCCCTGTAAGACAAAGTCCCTGCATTTACAGCTTAATGCCATAGATGCTGCTGAAGACAACACACCTGTGATCTAAGAGGTTGCTTCCCTAAAGTAAAAGGATTAAACCTTCTTTTACTTCCTCAGGTTTCTCAAGAGGGAGCCTCAGAAATCCGAATCCATGTCACAGGTGGCTGAAGTGGTCACAGACCGCCTACGTGTGCCCTGGCTGTGGGGTGGAGCCCGAAAAGTGGACTTGTCCATCATCCCTCCTCTCGTTCTCCTTCCTGTCCTGCTGCGCCTTGCTGCTCTCCACTACCTGCTCGGCATGGTGGTGATGACAGCTCTGCCTGGCCTGGTGCTGTGGTACTACTACTTCACACACCGCAAGAAGGGACAGACGCTCTTCTTCTTGAGCCTGGCCCTCTTCTCCCTGTCGTACATGTACTACCTTTTCATCACAGAGGTGTTCCCAAATGGGGATCTTGGCCTCGTGCAGCTAACGGTGGTAACAGTAGGTGTCTTACTCACCCTGGTAGCCCTAATCTACACAAAAAGAGATCCCGGCATCTTGCGTCCAAATCAGGAAGCAGTCCACAGCACAGTGACATATTACACCCCTCCAGCAGACAGAGACCCGGCAGTCAGCGGGGGGAGGCAGGAAGTGACGATGGTATCCAATCGGGCAGGATTGATGGAGCAGGTGGGGGCGAGCTGAAGGAAAGTAACAAAAGGAACTGGTGTCCAGTGTGCAGAGTGGTGCAGCCACCGAGGGCCGGACACTGTCGGATCTGTGGCGTCTGCGTGCAGCGTCTCGACCACCACTGTGTCTGGTGGGTCCTATCAAAACTCATCTCACTTGACTTGTCAGCACTGTTCCTTTTTGTTTTGTCTCACATCTCAAATGCTGTGGCGTTCTTATTTGTCTTATGCTTGTTTTTCGACACAAACTATTCAATAAATGTACAAAGCAGCCTTTAAATTTCAAAACAATACCAACAAGTTAGGTTCTTCTTTCCAGGAAACAAGTGTTTTTTAAGTGTTAGCAATTCCGGTTTCTTCATTGACGTTATTGTATGTTGTCGAGTCAGCATGACATATTAACTACAGCAACAAGTGCATATATATCTGTTCATAAACTTATATGTCTGGTCCTGCATGTGTGTACAGTAATGTAACCCTGTGGTCTCAGTTCAATGTTTTGTCTACCTGTGTGTGTACCTGTGTTTGTGTGTCCCCTCCTGTCGGTGCTTGAGTAGGATAAACAGCTGTGTGGGGCAGGCCAATCACCGCAGCTTCCTGCTTACACTCGTCCTGTTCCTGTTGACGTCCCTGTACGGGATCAGCCTGGTGCTGCAGAGCGTGTGTCCCAAACAACGCCTATTCACAGCCCTGCTCTACTGCCCGGGGGTCTACAACCAGTACAGGTAGGTACTAAGAAGAAACATGTTCACACTTGGTACACTCAGGGCTGGGTTACTGTATTCCCTCTTTGCCAAACACCTTATTGTTGTCAATATTATTATGCAAGAAGATGCATGATTAATCTTATTTGGAGAAAAATAAATATCCCTGAATTGTATTTGTGTTTAAGAGCGTCTTAGAAAGCTCAAGCTGTTGTAAAAAGACTGGCTGTTTTTTTTCTCAGAGCAATGTGAGAGTGTAATTAAGACAGTTAGTACAATCTGTTCTGGTAGCTCTATACTGTAAGTGAATTTCAACCTTCAAAGCACAGTTAGATCAACCTTAGACTACTAAACTCAGAACTTGTCTTCATTGTCATCATGTCCTGCATACTTCCAAATATATAATTTTTTTTACTGTAAGGGATTTTAAATTGGTCATACAATACGTTTTTTTTAATAATCATTTACAAGGCAAAGTACATGACACATTGTAGTTTAATTTAAAGTGTACCATTTACCGGTACATTCAAGCTGGTTAGCATCATGTGTACACTTTTTGCCTTTTATGTCAGATACATGCAATCTGCGCTGTGTTTCATTGTGACTCTCCTGCAGAATAGAGTAACTTTTATATTTGTCTCTCTTCCAGCACCGCTCTTTGCTTCACCTGTGCCTGGTACTGTAGTATTGTGACCAGTGGCCTGCTCCACTTGCTGGTGGTACAGGTCATCAATGTCAGCTACAATGTGACCGAGCGCGAGGCTCGAGTTGCCCTGCGAGACAAAACCGCTCTCAGCGCCTGCTGGGGATTCGTCGTGGACACTGGCATCTACTCTCGAGGTTTCCGTGACAACTGGGCAGAGTTCATGACCATGGGGGAAAACCTTAGTCCTCCCTCTCCTGCCCCAACAGACCTGGTGTGAGAGACTGTAATGCAACTGTGATTTGAAAAAAAAAAAATAGAAAGACTTTGGAGTTCATTGTTGCTGTTCTGTTTATGTCCACTTGATGGCAGCGTGGCTCCTTTGCTGGCTGAGAGCCCCCAGGACTGAAATTACCCGATTTCTGAAGCCCTGACGTTGACACATAGCAATAATTTCACACCTCAGTGAGATACATTCACTCCTCTTAATGTCACTGATAACTGGCATCTCCCCCATGCAGCTTTATCCACTCACACTTGAACTGCCTTTCACTGCTGCCTCATTTCCTCTCATGCCCAGCAAACATCACTGTTTCCGTCACACTGATGGTCTTCCCTGGTCTAAATTGTCTTTATGTCTCCCATACATTTTAGTGCCTTGCTTGGAGACAGTATACAAGAAAAAAAAAATGAGAGAACGGTTAGTCTGTTGATGCTCTTAATCCTGGAGTTGGTCAATCCTGCACAGAGCATGTACTGCGCTTTATTTCAAGGACGCTCTTTTCTTTGCACACATCATTTGTTTCACATCTACAAACTCCTCACAACAGTCTTCACCAAGCAGGACACCTTACTTCACTTGTGAAATGTGTTGTGGTTGTCTGTGACAGACATGTCAAACATCACATCACTAATCACATAATCTGGCTCATTAAATTCTGCTGTGTGTTATCGCATTCTCATAATTAATGATTTGCTTGTTATGAGGAGACGAATAGCCACTTTTACTCTCAAACTACATAAAACTGTATTTAACGACTCTGGAAAAATAAGTACAAACAATTCACATAATGTCAGCTATAGAAGTTATCAGTGGTTTTCATTATAGCTGCTTTTATAAATTGTCAAAGAGATTGAAAGTCTTTTATTGGTATCCTGAACAGTGTATGGATTTATCTGTGTTGATTCTCTTTATTTATAATAAATAAATGTGAGGAATATGCAGCGTGTTTTCTTAACGTTTGCATACGTGTGTCCTCTCCTAAGTAACTGAGACGTTGTCCATGTGGGCCTGAGGTTTTCCTCTGACAGTCATGGTTTCTTCCAGTGTCCAGTTGTCTTTACAGCGGATGGGAGCAGAAATCAGGCAGGACCTCAGTCACTCTCCGGCCCAGCCTCTTCCGTCGCACTTCCTTCTCTCTTTCCTTTCGCAGCTGACACGGAAGCTGCCTCCAGGCCAGGAAGCATCGCCGCAGCACCCGTCTGAAGTGCAGGCAGATGGAGGGGCAGACGGGAACAAGCAAGTGAGCAATAAAAAATGAATTATAGAGACCTCTGGGTTGATGAGGCCTAATGAGTTTTCACACGGTGTCACTGGAGGCTTATTGATAATGGCAGCTTGGCAGCCAGTGGAAATACACCTACAGGCTGTGGTCATTTAGTTAAACTGACATTAAAAGCTCAACTTGATTAACATTAACATTTTCTGGCAATAAGTATGAAATCATTGTTGTACTGGGGCTGAAGTAAACGTTCATTTTGATCACAATGGGAAAAGGATGACAAAATAATAGTAAACGTTCATTTTGATCACAATGGGAAAAGGATGACAAAATAATATGCTGTTATTAAGCATAATTAGAAAAACAAATTGTGTTTCTACTATTAAACTATTTAGATGCAAATGAGGAAAGTTCCCAAAGAGTGACCTAGCTGACATTATTTAATTCACTCGGGCCACTTGGATCTTTAGAATAACAGTTCCAATGTGTCTGTCCATCCTTTCTGTCTGTGTTGAAATATTTCAATAACTATGGAGCTCATATGTCACTACTTTAACATTCACATCAGCCTTAGCTGTAATGTTGGTGCTGATGAGTGAATGTTTGCATTATACACATATGATAAACCACAGTATGATGGTGAACATGCTAAACATGAAACATGCTAAATAATGTGCTTGCATTGTGATACTCCCTGAACAAATGCACTCAGGGCTTATTGCCCTTGCAAACTGATGTGATATTTCATGTCAACACGTAGTTAAACTTTGACAAGCCACTGGGTCAATTTTTGATATCACACCTTGTTAGTGGGTTATGTTTCGGGGGAGGGGGGGGGGGGGGGGGTTTGGGGACACACTGCAGCATATGCACAGTTAACATATGGGAAATTCACAGGTAGCAAACCTGTTATTGTGCTCCTGAGACAGCTCCTGACGGTCCCACTCCAGCAGCCTCTCCTGGCTCACATGGTCCAGCAGTGCCAGCAGAAACCTCCTCAGAGTGCAAGTGCGATAATAACGCTCCGCTCTCTCTTCTTGAATCATCCGCCAGTCCTTCAGCTGAAACGGACAACAGTCACTCTTAGGAGAGGTATAGTTTGAAGTACAATAATTAAACTTGATAATTATTTTAAACCTTGGGAATGCTGAAAAACACGCAAACCATATTTTCGCAGTAGAATCCACATCAAATTATTTCCAAGTTAGCTTCACTTATGAGGAGGAAAGTGGTTTAAGGAACTTTAGAACTGTTTAGATTTTGGGATTTTCTTATTTCTTTGCTGATGTTGTCCATTATGCAGGGGAAAATGTAAAAAAAATAAAAGCTGTTTTAGCAGTGTGCAGTTTATCACCTTTTTCTGACACCTGCTGCCCAGGAACAATTTCAAACATGTAAAATAGTAGTTAGAAACAGTCAGCCTTGTTGCTTATGATCTGGTTTGTCATCAAGAGGTGTCTCTATTAATTTTAGCCAATTTCACAAGCTGTAAAACACTCCTCCTGGGAGGTTACATAAATTAGAGAGGAAGGAGGAAATCACCTCTGGTAGTAGATGGGGAGACTGCCCCCCTGTGTGAACACATTATTGAGCCAGAATCTATTTCTTTACTTTGGGGACAAAAAGCGGCTTCCCTCAGAGAAAGGCTCAAGTTTTAAAGTTAAGACTCGAATGAAAGTGAAAAATTACAAATAAGGCCAGTTCGATGTTACCAAACATATCTTTATTATCTTTAATATGTATTTCAATCTCATCCAAGTTACGAAGTTGTATTTTTTTAATGACATATTTTATTTGTGTGTGTGATTGTGAGTGTGTGATTGTGTGTGCATACTCACTCTTTTCCAGCAGCTTAAGCCCCTCTGCAGCAAAGTGTGCTGGTACAGTTGGTCAGCAGAAGCCTCCCTCTCAGAGAGGGACTCTCTTGCTGATTGCAGCCAGCCTTGTGTGCAGCGCCTCAGGAGGAAGAGATTGTGGTGACGGTCTGCCAGCTGGCGAGGATTGAAAAGAAAAGCGTCGATACACACTGATGAATGCATCCAAACTCAATCGTATGTGCCAGGTTGAAAACAATAGAGCGGTGTCAAATGAAAAGCCGCTTGTCTCCGACTGCATCGCACATTCAGCACAGAGGGTTTATATATTATCTATGTTACATGTATGCACAGGAGAATTTGTGTGGTATTGTTTCGAACACAGAAACATTTTGAAGACTTGATTCTATCAGAGAATGTGGCAAGAAAGTTGTTTCACATGCTTTGGATATGTTCCTCTCTGTCTTCTTTGAGTTTGAGTGTCCAGAAGTATAAGCAAGTTTCATAGCCTTGGCTTGGAATGCTTAATTTGATTCTGAGTACCGTATTTCTACTGGATCCAGTATGTCCATTTCTTCAATAATACAATGTTAGATGTTTTAGATTGGGTGTCATTAGGTGGGTGGTCCCTTATTATCATAATGGTTAACTTCACATAACATAACATTCCAAAGTGCTTCACAACCAGGCGACAGTACGAATAAAGAAATGATAATAAAGAACAGTCTTTGCAGAAACAACATAGATACAGACTAAATTAACGAACGCATACAAAGTGGCAGCTGAAGCAAACAGGAGATATATAAAGAGCTAATATTCTAATGTTAAATCCTGTTTAAAGTTTAATATCTTGAACATGTCTGTTCCTGCCATCCATGTTTAAGCAACTGCAATACAATTTTCAAGGCAACATTAACACGGTTAAATCTGCTTTGAACAGATTTAGACTTTGTAACCTTCTTTTGAAAGAAATCTGAACAGGCTTTAAAACATGAGAGTGATGTGCTTCCCCAGTTTCTGAATGAAGAACAACAACTAGTAATTTGTGGAGACATAAATGATTAAGAGCCTTCAACAATCTCTTTAAGTGAGTGCCTCCAAGAAAGATAGCAAAGACAACTACATGCAATTTTTTAGTGTATAAGCAACATGCAGGAAGCTTTTTATTATTCAAAATTAACCTCAGTGTGTTCTGGACTTGGATCAACAATTGAAGGTCAAAATTTCTTCCCTCCCCCTTATTGTAATTCAGTTGTTGCAGGAGTGTGTGTGATGACGGAGAGCCTGACATGCTCTTAGCACAGTTTCTCGCTCAAATAGGATTTTGATGTACTCTTCAAAGTTAATGCCAAATTCGATTCCACCTCCTGGGTCAATAGTGGGTGGGTTAGAGGACCTAAAAAACACTCTGACAGGTAAATTACCAGTATGTTGCATTGTCTGAGCTGTAGGAGGCGTATCCATGGCGCCAGGCCTTGACGTAGAAGTACGTTTCTGTGGTAGTGTTGACGTGCCAGCTGAAGGAGCTCCTGTTGCCTTTTCAGTTGCCTAATTTTTTCCTCTTCCCTCTACACACAGAAAGACAGTGACATGATTTAAATGTGTAATTTGTCGACATTTTATGCCACTTAGAGTGTCTTAGATATAAATACCTCTCTTTCCTGCCTTTTCTCCTCTCTCTTCTTCTCTGCTGCTAAGTGTTTCTCCTCCTCTTCCTCCCTCTGCCTCTGCTCCTCGGCAGCTTTCATCTCAGCCTGGAAAAGATGCATTTATGGCCGTTAAATTTGTGTTATTCTCACATTATTGCTTCAGGCTTGTCTTTCCAAACAGTGTGGTGGTTCTAAAAAGACAACAACTTGTACCAGTTTTTCCTCTTCCTTCTTCCTTTTCAGTTCCTCAATTTCCTTCCTCCTCTCTGCCCGTTGATGTGCACGAGCCTCCATGGCTTCAGGGAGAGGGACAGAGGTGAGAGTAGCACAATATTAAGCGAATATTTGATTGTAACTTTATATTTCGGCTCTTTATACTCTGAACACGTACGTCAAAGTCAGAGCAGACATCACACATGCACTACTATTGAATCACTTAAGACCTAAAGGCTTTTATGTATGCAAATTATTCCCCATTATTGTGAGTCAGGGTCATGCAGTTTTTTGACAAAAGAGACACAGCATTCTTTTGCCACTTGTTAAATATATGAATAATATACATATGGTTTGAAAAGCTTCTATGTCGTATGTGTATGCTTTTAAGTGAAGGATTTTCAGACTGACCCGTGATGATTGGATGTGGACATCTCTGCTGTGAAACAGCTTTCCTCCGAGGTGCACAGAAACCTTCAGGTTCTCCAGTAGCTCTCTGTGCTCTGCAACAGAAACAAAGCCATTGACACAGAAACACAGGCTGCTCATAACACTGTCTACAACCTCACCTGTACCTCATTATTGTCTGGAACTTGACAATTTAGACAGGCATCGACCTAGCTAACCTTGTTAGAATGGCCTAAATCTATAGAAGAGATCCAATGAGGTGCAAAAACTTTTTCTTTTTCACTTAAAGGAACGGTTACAAATACTTTTACAGACTTATGCAAAAGCCTGTTTCATTTGGAATCTCATAAATTATATATGATTAAATGAACAATGAGTGGAAAAAAATATACATTTTTCACAACCTCCTGACTTCAGCTCTCTCCTCGCTTCAAAATCCCTCTGTAGCATACTCTTCGTATCCGCTCCGATGTGAGTTGTATTCAAAAGGGAAGGTTATTAACGGATAATGACTTTTACCTTGGTTCACCTCGCTGTAGCTGCTGAAAATCAATAAATCTCTACTATTCCATACATACTGTATGAGATATCACCCTAAATGGGTGTTTTTTAGTTAAAATCCTTTCAACCCTCCATTACCCATTGAGATTTTCACAGACAATGACGCGCCAAATCATTCTCCATTAGTCAGCAGTGCTGAAAGTGGAGCGAGCTAGCCTCAGTGAGTTTCATTGTCTGTAGAGAGTTTGGAGTACAATCTGGGCATGTACATGGACTTGGACTGGTTTAAGTCTTCCCTAGTCTTCTAACAAGTGGCTTTATTAACAGTTAAAAAGTAAGTTACTACTGTTTTATCTAAACCCTATTAAGACATAACTAAAGAAAACATTAGGGTTGCCAGGTTGTAGACAATTTTAACTTCCAAAATGGAGACCATTTGACCTTCTGGTTAAGGAAAATCATCAAACTTTTTTTGTCAACATATTTGATATGTGATATTTGAACTAAACAATCTAGAAGTTGGTTGCTTTGAATTGTCACAATATTCAGTGAGTCCACCTCTGCTCTGTGGGGTCAGTGCTGTGGCTTTTGGGTCTGTGGCCTCGCAGTATTGAGAGCTGGGTAAGTTGTGCAGTTCTCTCCATGTCCAGCTCCAGGCTCACCACACTCTGCTCCTCCTTCAGGCGAGTGATCTGCTCCTGCTGCTCCTTCAGCAGATTCCTCTGCTGCGTGATGATCTGCTGCTGGACGGCATGTCTGTTCTCAAACCTGCTGCCCAGAGGCCCTGTGCTTCTTAAACAGGGTACGCCATCACCCTCACCTCTCCGCTGTACCTCATGGAGCTCAGCAGCACTCGGTGCTGCATGATGTCGGGTCACCTGCCAAGGCTGAGTGGGCTGTGTCAGAGCACCCACAGGGGCCTTTCTCTGATGTGGTGCAGAGGTGTTAGGGGTTAAAGTGCCTGACATGTGGTGATCTTCCTGCAGAGGAGGAAACAGAGCAAAAATGGAGATTGTGTCTTTAAGACATGTAAAAAAAAAAACTAAAGTCCAGTTAAAGCTGAAGGGGAGAAACATGGATAATGTATTAAGCTCCTTAATCTTAACTAAGCCCCAGGAATTGTAATACATATAAGCAGCAATGCTCTTGTTTGACCCCTTCAACATGAACTCCTGCAAGTTCTTCTTCTGCTCATGTTTCTTTTGCCCCTCAGGCTCTGCACTACGCCTCTTATACTGCTTTACAATTCTTTCTATCTGCTCTATAGCTTTCCATCCCTTATACCTTTTTTTACTACCTCTTTCCAGAAGTGTGAATTTTTCAGCGGGAAAAAGTTTGATTTTGATATCCTTTATTAATCCCTGAGGGAAATGCAGGTTTCTTTGTTACTGTAGACTTTCTGAGAAATGTTCAGGTCATCCCAAGCAGTGTTAAGACAACATTTTTTTCTTAGTTTGGACCCAGCCTTTTGGCATTATGAGGAGTTCATCTCTCACCTTATTTGTCCTCTCTGGCTCAGTAGATACAGCCTCAGGTGGGGCCATTATGTGCTGATATTTTTGGGTTCCTGTGGCCTTTAGTTTGCCTGTTGTTGCTGCATTGATTAAGGAAGTCATCTTGCGTCTTGTCTCCTGCTGCTGGGCCAAAAGCTCTCGTTGTTCCTTCTCCATCCGACACCATAGATGCCAATTATTCAGACATTGTCGTAACAACCGCCTCCTGTCACTCTCTGCAGCCCGCTGGCATTGTCTAAAGTAAATAGAAATGTGATTGCATTTTTAACCCTTAGTTATTGCTTGGTAATAGACTGTAAATCAGTAAATGTCTACTAAGAATACTGCTATAATTGAGAATTTAATTTAGAATATCAAGTAATTAACTTGTGTGTCATTTATCAAATGCAGGGTTTATAGAATGACAGCTTTAAGGGCTCTTTAGCATTATGTCTTTTTTTTATTTTTTATTTTAGCTCTTGCCTGTTTTCAGCTCGTAGCTCCTCCTCTGTCCTTTCCACTTCTCGCTGCCTTTGCTGAGCCCACAAAACTGCCCGCCATGCTCGCCATGCCCTCAGTTGCCTCTTCCAGTCACAGAGGGCCATGGCCTTACCCAAACGCAGCCTTCGATCCAACACTACAGAATACCATCCAGAGAAATGCTTCTGCAGGCACTAAAAACATGAATGCCCACGCGTTAGCAGATCTAAAATATTACAATTGCTGTACAAACCTGTAAAGTAAACTGACACACACAGTAACAGGTTCTTACCTTGAGGTCATGCATGTGAACCTTGGTCATAATTTTCTCTTCTTTATGTAGTTGCTCTGTGTCCCCCTGCTGCTGTTTTGAAGGAAGTGGAGGAGCTGACTGGAGGCTTCTTGCTGCCCTCTGCCCTTCCACTCTCTCCCTCTCCCTGTTGACAATAAAATGCATGTAGTAGACCAGGGCAGTGTATAGAGGATTAAAGTTATAGCCAAAGGTTGCAGTGAAAAAAAAGTCTAAAATAATCCATAAGTATGAATACCATAATAATGGCTGTAGAATAAAGTTATGCTAGCAGCATACATACTAATAGATGGTTGTGAGGGCTAAGGTCAGTCAGCCAAGCTTCAAATCAATGTGTCAAACATTCTTGGATGGTCGAACTAAAATTTTGTACTGAATGTAGTGACCCCCAGTTAGGAGTTGCAATAGTCAATGTGTGATAACACAAGAGCCTGTACCAGGAGCTGTGTAGCATGCTCTGACAGAAAGGGTCTGATGAGCTTCCTGTCAACTGTACAGGGCAAATAGATATGGCCATGCAATTTAAGCCACGTGAACCTTAAATGTTAGCTGGCCATCAATCATGACACCCAGGTTCCAGGCAGACTGTGTGCATGAGTTTAGTTGGTCCAAGCTGGATGTTGATCTGTGGTTGCATTGGGGACTGGCTGGGATGACAAGGAGCTCAGTCTTTGTAAGGTAAGTTGAAGATGGCTTTCATCCATTTAGAGATATCAGCAAGACCTGATGACATTTTTTGCCAAGGCTGTAATGTCATCTGGCGGGAATCACAGCAAGAGCTGGGTATTGTCAGCATAGCAATGGAATGAGACACCATGGGAGCGGATGACTGTATAAAGAGAGGTGGTGGATACTGAGAAGAGAAGGGGACCAGTCACTGACCCTTGAGGCACCCCTGTGGGTAATTTGTGTGCTTTGGACCATAATACCCTTCCAAGATACTCTGAGGGTGCCCTCACGCTATGCCCAGAAGCCCCGTGCCCAAGCACAATTGTCCTCACAGCCCATTCCCCCACCTAGCCAGCCCTCAAAATTATTCATGCTAGTTTGAATTGCATGCTTATTTTGTCTTTAACATTTACTTAATTGCAGTTTTCCTCTTAATCTACTGTACCCAGGTCTGTAGTTGTGAAGGGCTTAAGCATCAAATTCACCAAGTCATTAAAAAAAACAATAGTTAAGTATATAATTGATAGTTTATAGGACATATTTTTATTGTCCAGACATAGAAAAAAGCCTTTTCACCCTTTTTTTAAACGTCTGTCTCATTGTTCCGGCCCTGGGCTTATTTTCCCTCTACAGGGACACTCCTACAATAATAGTTTGGGTCATGGATTTTGCACATCAAAGACTTACTTTTGAAGAGATTACTGTCAACCATTGGAGCAAATACCAGACCATGCAACAAGGAAAGGGGGGCTGAGGGTCATCACAGCTTTGAGCAATTCTGAAACCACTTCAGCCGAGGGGAGCTGTTGCCATACCTCTGTCGAACCAACTGCTCCAGGCCTCTCCTCTCCTCCCTCTGACGTTGCAGCCTCAACATCTCCTGCTGTACCATCTCCTCCTGCCTCCGCACCTCCTGCTTCTTCCTCCTCTCCACTTCTTGTTCCCTGCTCTTAGCCTCCTCTCTGGCCCCCCGCTGAGCCTCCCTCGCTCTCTGTTGCCTGTGCCTCTCAGCCTCCCGCCGCGCCCTATTCTCCCGCACCTTCAGTGTAAATCACAGAAAATTTGTCTAATTAAGAACAACTATGCTTCACACATTGTTTCAGTTGTTTCACTTCTCATTTGTGTCTTGAGGAATTAGGAAATCACGTACCTGCAAGTGTCGAGCTTCCATGGTCACAATCGGGTCTCTGAACCTCTTCCTTGTTTGTCCTACATCTAGAGCCAGTTCCTCCATCATCTCAGAGTCCAGCGCCTCCCGCTCCATCAGGTCTTGAAGGAAGCTGCTAACAGCGCTCTGCTCTTCTTCCTCTGTCAGGCATTGTATAGATCTATGGGTATCAAAGGGGTAATATTACATCTGAAAGAGCCTTGTGAGAGATTTACATTTTTTTATCCATGTACGTCACTCTTTGTGCTTTAAATTATTTCTGCACATTATTAAGTATCAAATAAGGTGTTGATTAAAGTAATTTCCTTTTCAGGACATTTCACCACAGTGTGAAAGTCATCGAAACAAGAGTCAACAAGTGTTTGAGAAAGATAATCAATCACAAAAAACTTTTGTTAACTATGAGTAGAATGTAATAGGTTTTCAACTGCATTAGTGCAACATTTCAGATTTCACAGTCACTTGTTAAAAAGTGACAAGATTACAGTATGCATCCTTTGTATGTAGGACTATGGAACTTAAAATACCAAAAGCGAGCACATTATCCAAAAACAAAAAAAAAACATAAAGAAAAGAAAGAAAAATTAATTGAATGATCACTAATTTTTGTTTGAAGCAAGTTTAACATCCCTGCTTGTATATTTTCCAACCATACTCAAATAAAGGAATAGAGGAAAAAGAGGAGATCAATCTTCAAAAAATGTGACAAACTGATAGGATAAAATCAGCTAAAAACTGTAAATAGTTTGAAAAGTATCTAATGTTTAAATTGTTTAGGTTTTGGTCAAAAAGAGACTTTTAAATGCACGTGTGCCCTATTGTTTCATCTCAAGTTATTGGAAAAATAGTCATAATATTATCAAAGCAAAAAATCTATGAATACAACATTGATCGACAGAATCCTGAGCTTGGATTATGGGGTTTCATTGTTGTTGTGTTGGTAGTTACTATTTGGAGTCAGAGTTACTTAAAAATGACTTTGTTTGCAGTAAACTGGTCCTTACAGGACATTATGCACCCACTGAAGAAGTATGTAGTACAAATCTTACTGTTAATAATTAAGCCTTATATATGTTGGCTTGTAATACCAAATATAAATCTCCTTTTCTAATATACTGCTAAGTAAGTCAAGCTGAAACTTGCCTCGATGAATTCAAACAAAGAACAACAGATAGATTGGACATGAAGCACAGTTTCTGTCCTTGATTCATACCATCAAAGTTGTTGTATTTCAGGTCAGCAGGTTGAGGTCTAGCCAATGCAACAGGGCTTCTCGTCCCAGCAGAGCACATCATGTCATCCTCCTCCTCCTCCAGCTCCAGCTGCAGACGCAACTTACTGCTCAGCCAATCACTAAGAAGAGCCTGAGCTGCAAAAAGAAACCAACCACATTTTTTTTACCCTGCTGCTGCCCAGATTGAACCTTTTATATTATACATAACACTTCTCCTGAGGCACCTTGTTATTTTTTTCCATGGGCTGACCTACCTTCACTGTAAGCGTCATCATGGTCTCTTAACTGGTCAGAGCTTTGCAGAGGCACGGGGAGGCTGTTGGTGCCTGAATGAGGTTTCTTTTGGGAGAAGACTTCGGATACAGCCAACTCTGAAGCCGTCTCCACACGCTGCATCGAACAAAACAGACGTACGAACTTGAGGTTACTTTTAATTACTAATTAATCAGATAATTATTAAAACTACTGTTCAGTCCATAAATGGTAATAAAACACAGAAAATATCCTTCAATTCAAGTTGAATTCAATCTTTTCAATGTTTTCTTTGTCCACTAACCCTCCAAAATCCAAAGTAAAGCATATTACAGTAATACTAAAACATATATTATGACAATATAACAGCTCACAGCTGCACAAGCACATATGTTTTCTCACCTTCCTCCACTGATCGATATCGCCATTTTTCACATATATCTGTCCATAAAAGAAAAACAAATCCAAGAGTATGTATAAGTTTGCAAGGGCATGTAAAGACAGCTGAAATGCTTTTCTCATGGTCACCCTACTTTAAAAATGCTCAGGTAGATTGCAGACACTTTGAGCTGTAAGCCTAGTGTGCATACTAAAGCCAAATCCTAATGTCTGCAAAATATTTCACAGGACAGCTAAGCTGTTGTAATCAGCAGATTACTTCAAATTCATATCCCAGACGTCCAGAAGACTGTGCTTTGCTGGGAGTGATTCTTCTATCTCTGTCTCATGCAGGAATGATGTAGTTTATCTGAAAGAGGCCATTTATATGACAGTTGTCCGCTGTCATGAGCAATGCCTTCATAACACTGATGTGCTTCTTCTGAATTCACAAATCCTATAGGGAACTTTTAACAATCATGTTTTTTTTATCTTCTAGGGGATTTGATATTCACAGGGAAAAAATGTTTAAATAGTTAACATTTGCAGAAAAAATTCTCTTCTCAAATGAGAACCTTTAGAAATCTTAGCTAAATATTTAGAAATCAAAGCTAAATATTTAGAGTCTTAGCTAAATATCTAGTTTATATTCTATATATTTAGCTTTGATTATAAATATTTACAATCTTAGCTAAATATATAGGATCAAAGCTAAATATATAGAATGTAAACTAAATGTTTAGAAACGTCGCTAAATATTTAGAATGTATTTTTAACATTTATATATAACATTTAACATTTAGATAAAACATTCAACATTTAGATATAATAGTTAACATTTATATTTGCCAATGAAATTATCTTACATTTTTATTCACAAAAGTAGATATGACAAAGTTCACAAATATTTATCTAAATGTGAATAAAAAGTGATTTTGTTGTTATTTGTAGTGTGCGCAACTTCACAGTCGGCGCCCCATATAATTATTTATTTAGAAAAGTCATTTTACCTCAGAGATATTACAAACGCTTTATAACTCTTGATTTAGTATTAAAGGTTTAATTTACCTTGTGTGCAGTTGTTTCACTCTTGCCGAGCTTCCTCCAATTAAACAGGTGAGGATTATGACCTGGGAACGTCATCTGTTTGACGACAGAGCTTTAACTCTCTGCTACGAGCCTATAATCAAATACCAACTATTAAGATACATTTCCTCCCAAACGCTGAGTTTAGAGGGAAAACCAGGTCAAATGTATTTAAACGTAACATGTGAATAAGTCACCACAGAGTGCCAAAGCAAACACAAGAACACCAAACTGCCCTTCTCGTTACATGGCTTCCTGGGTAATGTAGTGGCTTAACCCGATTTCTAGACTTATCGGAGAATGTCAGGACTACATGTCCCACCACGCTTTCTTTGTCGTTCATGCGCTTCTCTGGTAACCACAGCAACGGCGAGTCAAATTGTGTTTTAGATTTACTAAAAACAAAAAATAGTTAACTTAAAGAATCGAATTGGTTAGTGCCGTTTATTAACAAAGCAGGTCAATAACTTCATGCTTTGATTTAAAAAAAAAAAAAAAAAAAAAAAAAGATAGCACCATTTGTAGTTTTGTAGAAATGGGCAGTTGGTGATGACGTCACATTCCCTCGACTTGCGGATCTGTCGTGCAGTTTAGTTTTTTTTTTCAGAAAGCTAGAAAGATGGTTTTTTTTAACGTTAAAATAAATTAAGACCGGTTTTTATACGTATTGTTTTCTCGGCAAAAAGGAAGACTCGAGTCGTAACACGTTGAGTGGGGAAGGGGAAGGCGAGTTCACGTGTTCACTTCCAACATTAGTTCACGTAGGCTGGGTTACATCGACTGCATGGCCGGCAACAGGATGAAGCTGGAGCTCTCCCGAGTGCTTCAGGGAGGTAGTCGTCTGGGTGTGTTGAAGGGGCTTGGCAGGACGGGACAACACGCTCTTGACGTCCCGGGGTGTCTGTTGTACACACACTTCGGGACGGTGCCCCACCTTACCCAGGACACACTGCACAGCCTCAGCAACCTACCGTCCGTCACACAGGTCACCCTGTCCAACATGTAAGCTAAAGTCACCACACACAAAAGTATCTCTGAAATCCAGCGTCCATCCTCATCACTTTTGTTTCCCTCCTCTAGAGCAGAACACCAGGAAGTGATGGAGGAGTTTAAGGACGGATTCGTCAAGTTTTCAGGTACATTTGTTAAAGTTAAATTACATTTCCCTCATTTTCTGTCCCCTGTCAGTGTTTTCCAGAGAGGAATCAGCAGTGGAATAGAAAGCCTTTTATTGTCATTGTGCAGTATGAAGTCAAATCAGGAGAAGTTTTATTCTAACTCAGTGTTTCTTAACATGTGTTTTCAGTGGTGAATAATGTCTGTGAAGCTCTTTGTAAACATTTTTGTTGTGTTCCCTTTTCTTTGTTCTGTCACTTGTTTTGTACCGTCTGAGGTCCAAACCATTTCTTTTCATTCAGTTAATCCGATTGGTTAAAAAACATCAGAAAGCCATTGATGGTTGGTCTTGAGGCTAGACCAGATAAAACCACGGTTCTATCAGATTAAATAGCTTTGATTAGACATGATTTAAAAAGTCTCCTAAAGATATTCCAATATGTTCTAATAGTAAAATAACACTTCGTTATGAGCCTTTGTCTAACTTATAATCAAACATTGTTGTATTTACATTAATGCAGCAGAATTTTTATACAGCCATAAAAAGGCTAGAGTCTTAATTGCAAGTTCGAAGTGTAATTGAAAGCTTTAAAACTTTGTGGACGCTGTGGGGTGTTTTTCTTTTCAAGCTCAACATCATTTGATGTGTTAATTAGATACAAAGTTTTCTAATAATTAATTTGTCCAAGCAGACATTTCAAGGCGCGATGTTAGAAATGGAAAAAGGGAAAGTCCCTTACATCAGATTGTGATACACACGCTCACATTTCGTTTGCAGATTTAACATTCCTATATTTCCCACATTTCTAGATTATGAAAGGGTACGTTTCTCAAAGCTGTGTTACTCCATATTAGTTCAAAAAGATATGTTCAAACAAGAAGTAAAATCTGCCCAGAATCATTCCTAACCATATCATTTGCTGTCATTGAGGAGAAGGACTGTTTTGAAAGAACCTTTTTTGCTGTTGTTCCCCTCACGATTATTCTTTAACACCATGCAGTAATCATATTTGCGAGTCAGTTGTGTGACTCGTTGATTGATGTAAATGTCATTCATGCACACTGTGTAAATTTACTCTTCAGAGCTCAAGATGTATGAATACATTTGTACTGGCTAAATTAAAAAGGCTGGAGCAAATTGCCTCCAAATGTACAGTGTTTCGTTCAATATTGGCAAGCTGATTAGCGCTGCTGTTCTGAGTGATATTAAAATGCCCCAGAGTGCGACCTCATTCGGCTTTGCTGTACAACGGTAAGCTTTATTCTGCCTCAGGCAAAGACATTAGAAATTAGAAATGTAATCACTGTAACGCCACTTGTGGTAAACTGTCAGAGGATTACTACTGTTCTGTCTCTTAAGTCCCTGAAGGGAAGGGCATTGATTGAATAATTAGAATTAATACGAGTATTTTCTGCTATGAAGCCTTTTGTTTCCTGCACCTTTTGATCATCTGCTGCAGCTGTGTTTGCTGATAAGACCACACCTCATTCCTCTCCTCAGACGTGGAGTCTCCACATTAACATGAAGTAATGAAGCATTTCACCCCATCACCTTGCTACGTGCTCGGCCTGTGTAGGTTGTAACAAATTGTGTGTGTTTTTTTTTTCCTCTGTTGAAGTTGGAGCTGTAAATTTGTGTTTCATGTTTTGTGCAGGTCTTCATGACACTGTGTTGTATTGCTCTCTGCACGACCCTGCGACCCAATGCCCGACAGGTTACACCACAAATAAGGTGAGACCTTTTTTCAAAGACATACAAAACTGACACATTTTAGGTAATAATCGTATATATGATGTCAAGAATTAGATATGGATATCTATGAACTGTTGGAGCCGTAAGTCCTATTGTCAAATTGACTTTTAATTAGAAGTGGAGGTAGCCTCTTAGTTACAGTCCTATTGTACAGAACCAGTTAATTAAAAAGGACCTCCTTCTCAAATGATTGAATACCTCAATAAACATTTTCCCAATGAGTTAATACCCTCCTCAGTTCAACAATGTTAATGTTAGTTTAACATTTAAAACGTTAACATGTTCATTTTAACATGCCATGTTCCAAAGGTTTTAGTTTGGGGACCTCTAAATAATTTGGTTTCATTCCGAGGGAGCTGTTAAGACGTCCATCTTTTTATACCGTCAATGGTTTTTTTTTGCCAGGGAGCAGTTGCCAGAAAACCAGCCCCAGTTATATTCTACATAGCCATATTGTCAGAAAGTGAGCTCTGGAGAGACTGGAGAGGGAATCTTCCCTCTTTAATACAGAGCAAGTCTTGCCCTTCTCTACCTGGTCTTTACGCTTTGATAAGCTAAGTGTGACAGTCGATAAATGTTTTTTAAGTTCCTGTGTATCATCTCAGGTGTCGTCTCATATTGATCTCCTCTTTTGGGTTCTTAATAGACGGTGTCAGTGTGGGGCAGCGGTGGGCGAATAGAGCTGACAGTGGACAAGTTCATGGCGCTCCAGAAGGCTGTGAAGCCAGACTGGTACCAGAGCATGGCAGATGGAGAGACCTGGCAGAGCAACACCTCCCGGAAAAGGGTCCGCAAGTCGGTGGATCGAACTCTGGCTCACTTGGACGAGTGTCTGCTCGTGCACCAGAAATCACAGGTACACACACAACCTGCAGCCTACACACAAAACACTTTTCTCTTACGTTGGGGAATCAGTCATGCAGGGCACATGCTCAAAGGACAAGGATTGATGTTTGCTGTTGTTGTTGTTGTTGTGTGCAGCTTTGCCTCGGCTGGAATCACAGTGAGATTAAGATGCACACATTATCAGTGCGTACTGACGTTATCAGTAGGTGTTTTTTAAGGTTCAGCTTCATGCATGACAAATGAAATTAACTGAGATACTGTGTTTTAAAAGCACTCAGTTGATACTTCATTTCATGATAGAGAGGAAAACGCTGATCCAACATGAAGAGGTGAAGGAGAAGCATCATGAGCGAGACATATTTCACTTTAACTAAGTTATGCTTCAGTGGAGATAATATATTCTAACTATTATTCTAGTCCTTAAAGATCTGTGAATGTGTCAGCTTTTTGTGTCTTAACATGAATTATTATTCAACTAAATGCTCTATTTATGAGACACTCTTTAGTGTATTTTATTGCTCTTGCCGCAGAACAAGTTGACTAAGTATATTGCAATAGCTTTATTTATTTAGAACCTTTGAACACAAAGGTTTACAAAGTGCTTTGACATTCAAGCAGAAGAATACATAAGAACCCAAACAACAAAAACAAAACACCAATAACAACACGAGAAGCCAGTAGCAAAAGAATCAACCAATGAAATTAACACAAGACAACACAGCTGCATACACTGAGACCAGGAGGAGCAAAGATGTGAAATAATGTAAGAGATAGAATCAGTAAAAGATAGAAAAGCTATAACAAGAAGGAAAAACATTCAAACGAGATAAAAGAAATACAAATGGATAGAAACAATGGAGGAAAAAACGATAAAAGCATGAAATAGAACAAAAAAGAGTGAAAACAGTTCAATGTGGTAACATCATTACAGCGATAAATGGTAGTAAAAACAATAAAACAGATGAATGAATTAAAAAGAACCCAAACCCAAATCAGTTACCTTGGAATGGAAATAAATAAAACCAGGGAAAGAACTTGAGAATATTAGGGAAGCATCAAATAAATAAGAATGGAAAAAAGGCAGCATCACAGATGAGGAAATCTATAACAGTGAGTTAAGAGCCTTACGCCTCGTCACCCAAATAAAGCTGAGCGGCTGTGATGACCAAAACATGATCTCCTCCAGCCTTAAGTCTTGGCGCTTGGTTTTTGAACCACCAGAAGGACCTTACCTGAGGATTTCTATAAACCAAGAATTAAAATGCCCCCCCCCCATCTGCTGCTAAAAGTAGGTCATTAGTCACCTTGAGGAGGCTGTTTCTGTGCTAAAACAAGCTCTGAAAGAGGATTGACATTTCTTCAACAGGTTATTGTTAGACATTTTATGAGACTTTGTGCCCAATGAGCTGCTCGATTGCCGCTGAGACCGGTTTCCTCTCTCCGCGTGATATTGAAATGTGAAATACCAAAAAAGTCTGATTTGCTCTGGCAGTTGTCATACTTATTTTTTTCTGCACATGGGAACATATATCCCTGAAAGATTAAACACACTTAAGCAAGATGTTGCTTGTCAATTTCCCAAGATTTTTTTCCCTCTCCTGTCTTTTTTTTTTTTCCGCTCTCCCTTCTATCTCTCAGCATTTCTTCCCGTCAGCTGTTTAATCAAAGAACTGTCTCTCCTTTCAGGAGTTGGAGGGAGTGGAGGTGTTCGGGGTTGTGGAGGGGGGAGACATCCTGGAAGAGAGGCTGCGCTCAGCCAGAGAAACTGCCAAGAGGCCTGTGGCTGGATTCTGCCTGGATGGCCTTCAAATGGGGGCAATTGAGCAGAACCTGAGGACCCAGCTCATCACAGCTGTGACCAAAGAGCTGCCTGAGGACAAACCCAGGTGAGTCCTGCTTGTCAACATGTGTTCACTGATCACAGATAGAGAGAGAGAGAGGTCATCAGATTGACTGAAAGGCAGTCCCTGATTAAAAGAAAGTCTACAACAGAGCCTCTGTGGGGCTGTGTTATTCATTATCATCTTGACTTCAATGAAAACATGAAACACAAAGGCAGGCCCAGTGCTTATTCAGCAGATCAACATCAGCCTGAAAGGGTTTCCTGCAGTGGATCTATAGAGAGAGCAAATAAACATGCCTGCTGGGATAAAATGAATGATTTTCAAATCAATAAATGTGTTTAAAGTGATGTCTTCTAACAGCTTACATGGTCAATTACATCTGCAGCTAAAGATTATTGTCAGAATTTACTGGTCTGATGATCACATTCTAGATACTAACTATTTAATGAGTTCTTTAAAATGTACAACACATAAACAGATGAATTCAATAATGATCAATTAATTAATCAATTATCAATTATTAATTAATGATCATTAAAAGTAGAAAAACTAAAAGTCAATTTCAGAATAATTCAGTAATGAAAATTTAACTAAAGCCACATCGTTATTTATTTTTATAGGAGAAGCCGCGTTTCTGCGGACTTTGAAGTTTTGCACATAGATGTGCCTAAACATGCACAGGACACTTGGAAAACACACTAAAGGGCATATAAAACCAGAAAAAGCATAATATGGGACCTATAAGTCATGAGCCCTGAGCATCACATTAATGAAGTATTCATTCATTAGAATTCCTCTCGTTTTCAGTCAGTTATCAAACTGGTGCAGCAGTGTCGATTAAAATGCACCGAGTGATGTCAGCGTGGCAGGATGTGAGCAACACAGTGTGATACAGACTAATTGGGCCAAGTTAGTGGGTCCTGCCCAATCAGTAAATTATCCGTCCTGATTGATTACAAGTGAAGAAGCGCCTGCACCCCCCCACCCCACCCCACCCCACCCCACACACAAACACACGCAGCCCGTCAGCAGGCATTATCTCTGCTTCAACTTAAAGATGGTTCAGAGTCAAAGTCATTGAGGATTAAACCCTGTCTACAAAGAAAGACCATTCTTTTTCATTTCATGACATTTGTCAAATTTAAAAAACAAAATGTATCAACCATCAACTGTTAGGCTAACAGATAACACAATAATAACAAGTATTGTGTAATAATATTAAACTGATATAATAATAAATATTGTTGAGTTCCACATTATGCCTCGTTACAGACAGCAGAGAGAGCGTGATATTATCTTCGAGAGTTCTCTGCTTTCTTCTCTTTGAATGAATGAATCGGAGCTGAGAGGATTTGTGGATTATTGATCATCAGAAATGAATTAGCAGTTTTTAAATAATCAGATTAATTGTCATTTAGATTTTCTGCTTCCAGCGTCTGTATTCTACAGATGTTCTGTTATATCGTTTTTAAATGAAATATCTTTTGGTTTTGGAATGCTGGTTGAACAACATTGGCCAAGCCCTGTGATGTTTGGCTCTGGGGAGCGTATGAAAGACTTCATTTTTCTCATTGTATAAAAAACAAAAACAATATCTCAGTTGTTTTGAAAGCTCATGTGAAGAGTTAACAACTGATCATAAAACAGACTTTTAGACTGATAGATCTCTAGGATCTACAAAAGCAAAGGAGATGATCAGTAACAAGACTGGTTATTTATATAAACTTTACATACTAACAAAGAGAAGGTGGCACTTAAGGTAGTTCTCTTTTTCTTTTTTTGCCTTTATTAAACCGGGAAAGAAACTGGTTGAGATTAAAAATCTCTTTTTCAAGAGTGTCAGGCAGCAGCACAAAATGAATGACATGTTGCTTATACAGCCATTTAAAAAAGAAATGTCCAACAGCAAAGATTTATTCTCAGTTTCATGTTAGACATTGAAAATTAAGCAGGATAGGATTTTAATTCTGAAAACACTATTATTTACTGATGTTAATGTACAGAACCATCTCAAAGAGACTAAAGGTGTCGTTTAGTTCACAGGGGAGCTTTAGATATCTGACACTTCAATTTAATTGACAATTTTAAATCTGTATTAAGATTTAAACACTGAAATATACAGGGGTTATAATTGAAGCGACACTTTGAACAAAAAAAATCATATCTTGCCAATTTTTTCGCCTGTGGAAATGATTTGCCAAAAATAATTCTTTAGCTGATATTGAAAGGAGTTCCTTTCTTCTCCCAAATCTGCCGGTTCCCAGACTCTGTTCACTTCCAGCCTTAAAGAGACCTCTGAGTGGAGGAGTGCCACGTTAGTGCTCCTCTACTGGACGTGATGGGGGAGCTGTGGCTCTGAGTTCCCGTTCAGAGAGATTGTCTGTATCCTCGAGCTCCATGCCGGCTTCTCTAAGCTTGCCTTTTAATAAGCTCTTCTCGAATACTGCCCCGCCAAGAAGTTCTTGCTGTCAGGAGACGCTTCTTCCTTCTAAGTCAAGAGGAGTCACTACTGATTTCGTAAACTGGACCTGACTTTGGCACCACTAGGCAAAGTGTCAGAGGGAGCCAGAAAGCACAAAAACACACCGGCACATGATTCTGCTGGTGTTTTCCTCTTGTCCAGCAGTACATATCATCAACCTTTTGTGTGATTGAAGGGAATGTTAATGGTCACTTTGGGTTTTAATGCTGTGTCTGGCTTTTCGTTGCTGTCGTGCCCCCCTTCAGACTGCTGCAGGGCGTAGGACGACCTGATGAGGTGCTGGCGTGCGTGGAGGCCGGCGTGGACCTGTTTGAGAGTTTCTTCCCCTTCCAGGTGACGGAGCGGGGCTGCGCTCTCGTCTTCAGCTTTGATATCTCCCCGGATCCAGAGCGCGCAGGTAGAGCGCCCCCTAAAGGTGTGGTAGATAATTGTGCTGAAGAACACTTGAACAAATTCCCAATTTTATGTTATGTAGAGGGTAAATCAACATCTCAGGCAGGCATACAAAGATATTTGAATAAAACTTTGCTTAGGTTCATCATACATTAAACAATACATTTAAATATGTTTTGCCCAAGGACCAAAGTCCATCTGAAAACAAGATCATTTATAATTACTGATTTTATGTAACAAAAAATGAGATACATATGAAATTTGTTTACATTCTGCTTCTCCAACATTCCCGTTTGAGCTGCACCAAATTTTTTTGAAAATGACTTTTTTGTAGACTAAGGCATTACGTAGCAAATTGCCCCTTACAGATGGAAAACACTGTTTCTCTTAAGAAGCTTTCAATAGATAATAGCCTAGAGCAAACTGGCATGTCACGATGTCATTTGGATAAGGGGTCTCTCTCACAAAGATGCATTTGGATGAGAATGAAATGGAAATTAAATGCGGTGGGGTAATATGATTCGTCTGACTAATACAGTACACAGCATCATTTCTGGTGCATAAAAGAGACAAAAAAGATGATGATCAATATGCAGAGAGATGGAGAACAGAGTGGTATGAATGTTCTAAAAGGGGCACCACTTTGATATTTGTAAGGGTGCAGGGTAACTAATCAAAACACAGAGCTGATGATTGGAGCTCAATCATCAGCTCGGCACGCTTGTGTTCATTTCCATAAGAGGAGCCTGTGATGTTGAGCTGGATATGCTTACAGTTTTCTGGTTCTTATACAATGTAAAAGCGAATTCATAACACAGCACACAGCAGAGTCTAATTACAGAGTTCTCTGCCAGACTTAAATGGGACCTTGCCGACTGTGCCCATGGATGAACAACCCTTCATCTACTTTCATTTGTTCAGCATGAGGAAAAGGCTTCCTTTTCAGTCTCTAGTCATATAATGAATAGTAAAGAGTCTTTTGCATTCAAAGTATGTGTTGGCTTGTTTGACTGCGTGAAGTTGCCAATGTTGCTGATATATTCTAGCCCCAGGTCAATTGAAATAATTGGAAGAAAGATTTTCATCTGCTGAAATGAAATCAATGGAAAATCTCATGGCAGTGCCGATAAGTTCACAATTAAGTCCAGTCCCGTTGTTCTTATGGTGTCCCAAGTGAACACAGGAGACGTGTAATGATAAGAGCTTTTGGTCTTGGGCCCGCTGAAGACTTTGTGCTTCATTAAAAAGTTGTTTGACAGACTGAGTGAAGTTTGGTATCCAGCAGTAACTAGTGTCAGGCAGCACTAATCAATTCTGCACATGGAGCATAATGGAGTTCAATGGGGGTGAGGGCAGTGATGGTGTCAAACCTGAAGTGCAACTTCTAATTCCCTAATCAGCCAATTACAGGGCCTCATGGGGGGGATGTCAACACCCTCACTTTCCAGTTAAGACCCTTTTTGAAACATCAGACCTCGTTCCAATTCAGCCCATTCCTCTTTTATTTCCTTCTCAACCTAACCGTTTAAACGCTCTTTATAGCTCTTAACAACGTTTTGTTTTATTTTTCCAAATCTTCTTTTCTCCTGTTGCTGCACTTCTTCCACATATTCAGCCTAAACCACAACACACAAACTAAATATTTGGTCAAAGCAGAGTTGACGTCCAAACCCGTCATAAGAAAAGAGGAATAATAAAATGAATTATTCCATAACATCTGCTTATTCCGTGATAATCACATTTACTTGATCTTGAAAACTAAGGAGAAATGAAACTGCTGCAGTCTGTCCTTCTATGTTCCCACTTTGTTTTCTGTATTTGAAAAAAACACTTTTGATACAACAACTCTCAATAGTTGAATTTCTAACAACATAGATAAATAATGAGCTAGCTGCGATAAGAATAAAAAAAATGCAGCAGTGTAAATCACTTTTGTTTGGCTAACTAGCCTAGCTCATCGGATAAGCATTACGTGCTATGCTAGCAGAAATCAGGCTAGTAAAGGCTAGCAGGTGACATAGCCTTAGTCAAAGCTGTTATTTTTTTACTGTTTTCTATTCTATTAAATACCTTTACCTCTTAATAGTTGAATGTGTTATAAAATTTTGATAAAGCTAACTACCTTAATTTATCTTAACTAGCTAACTAGCTTCACACATTTAAGGTTCTGAAGCAGCAACTCTTGTGTTGAATCGGTGATTTCAGGATGTTAAGCTCTTTAATTATTACATTTTATTACATTTTCATTTGTTACAAAATGGGAAAAAAAAATTAAAACAGAATCACATTGAAATGTGTTTTCATTCCTACTTTTAGACGACCAGTGACTGAATTCTGTGTCCACATGTTTTTGTTTTAATTGTTTACTTTATGACAGTCTGCAATAATGTGGAAATAGATTAGTCAAAAAACAAAACAGGTTTGTTTGAATAAATAGCCTTCAAACTTCAAACCCTTTTTTCTCAGCTTCTCTGTTTTTGTAGTTTGACTGCTCTCTGTCTTCTGAGAGCCAGAATTCCTGCAAAAGTTCCTGCTTCCTGGTCAAGCCTCATTTTGTCCCTTTTTTACTCTCCCTCTTATCAGCCCCTCCTTATGGCACATACACACACCACCACACAAACCGTTAATACCTCGGTTTCATGCTTTTTTCATACACTTTGTTGCCCCCTGCTTCAACTGTTTCAGTTTGCACTTAATCCTTTTTTGTCCATTGTTGCTTCTTAATCCACATCGTTAATTAAATTAATTGCTATGGACTCTTTCTTATTTTTTCTCCTTTTCTCCTTTTTTTTTTCATGTTCCCTGAATCCCATGTGTTCCTAGCCAGCCAGATAATTATGGTGTTCCCTCCAGCTAAACAAGAACGGCATCCTTCACATACATTTCTCCATCCTCACTCTCAGCCTGTAGGGAACATGCTTTTGTATAGCACCGGCGAAGTGTTTAAAAGGGGTCAGTCCAGCGTTTCATTCCAGCAGCAGGGCTTAATAAGCACTGTGGTTCTGTATGTAGTGACATATTCCTGCTGAAGGTTTATATTATGTTGTGAAAAGCAAATGGTATGCTGGGATTAATGACATGTGTACATGCTTTTTATTTGAAGTGCTGGAGCTGGACGAAGAGAGGAATAGCATGGAGGATAAGCAACAGAACGGAGATCTGAACCTTGATGATCAAACACAGATGACATCCTTTGAGATCAATCTCAACGACAAGAGGTTTGTTGCAGCTATAATAGAACCCCATCGCCGTTTTAATCAGCAGTCTCTGCAGAATATCTCTTTTCATGTGTTTATTGAACAATTCATTTACATTAAGGCTTCCTGTTTGTAAATCCTGTTTGAACTTTCTTTGAACCCCTCTCCAGGTACCATGACGACTTCAGACCCCTGGTGGAGGGGTGTGGCTGCTACTGCTGCAAAAACCACCAGAGGGCATACCTACACCACCTGCTGGTGACCAATGAACTGCTGGCTGGAGTCCTGCTCATGATCCACAACACGGCCCACTATCACGGCTTCTTTGGCGCCCTCAGAAACGCTCTGGCCATTGATGAAATGGACCTCCTCAAGAGACGGGTACTTAGGGAGAGAAAGGACTTGGACGGATAAATCAGAGAACGATAGCAGAATGATTGATCTAGCTGTTCCTCAAAAGATCACTGCACTCCGCCAGAGGCAAACAAAGCTCTATCTCGCTCTTCCCAGTTCATTCAGGATCAACTGTGATACGGCAGATCCCTTGAGACCGAGTCACTCTGTATGTCGCATACAGAGTAAAAATAAAGAAGTGGATGTATAGAGAACAGATAAAAACAAGAGAAAAATGATTGTCTCTTGAGGAGGGCTTATGTATTGATCTGAGCTGATAGCCAGGAATCAGAGAGCGGCTTTTTGGGGACAGAGAGGGAAAGAAGCAGGGTGAGAGGTCGAGAGGAATCTGCATAAAGAAACAATGTGATGGATGGTGGTGGAATATCGACTTCGAGCGGGTCTCCATGTGCCTCCTGTTGTTGTCTGATTGCTGGTCAGCGGCTGACTAACATCCTTCGGACTCATTAGCATAACAGCAAAGACAAAGTAAAAAATATTGTTGAGTTTTTAAAGAGTGTAAAATTGAGTGATAGATGCTGATCATCTCCTGTTTTATATTAAAAATCCAATCATATATAATGTGATTTATTTTTGGCTTTGATGTGCTTGTTGTCATTTCATACATTATTTATCCGCCTCTGTGATGTGCTGTGGGAATATTTGCCATGTCTCAGTTGAATACCTTAATAGAGAAAGCATCTCACACACACATGTAGATTGACTCCAGTGTGTATGATGAGATTGTGTTCGCATCAGACACACGGATGCCGTGGTCGGTGTCTCTGGTGGGTTTCAGGGGGGGTTAACTGTGAAGGCTCGTGCTGACAGCTCTACTATTCCAGCTGTGGTGGAAGGGGAAGGATAAAGATCAAATAAAGATATGGGTCTCTTCCGCCTCCTGTGCAGGGTTCTTGAAGGTTAAGAGATATAATTGACTGCCAGGCTATGTGGATGTTTATGGGGGACGTGGGGGAGAGAGAGGGACTGGAGAGTGTGGTGGGATTATGGTGTAGCAATGAGGATTTAAGTGGTACTTGTGGATTACCTTTACCACACTGAGCAAAAAACAGCTAGAAGAGGGTTGATTGTAGGTGAGCTGCATAAATACTTGAGAATAATGTAAGTAAAACAAGTCTGAAAGATGAAGACTAAAGATTGAACAAATTAAAGCAGTGAGTGACCTGGAGTCTGATTCTGTTTTTATTGTGATTGTAGTCATTTTAAAGGTTGTAAGAACGAACTCCAAGAGCAGAAACAAGTAGAAGAGGTTGTTAATGGATTTGAACTTCCTTTACTTGAAGAGCTGCTGGTGATATTTTATTCAGTGTAGTTCTTTATTGTTGTTCAGCAGCAAACAGAAAATCTCTTCTTGAATTATTCACTTTAAAGAAAGATTTCTTGGTTATATCAATAATTAGGCTCAATTAAAGCTGACAATTGTTGAGTAAAAATTGCTCGCAAGTGTGTATAACTGCACTCCTGCTTATTTTCATTTGGACATGTCTGTTGGTTATAGCCACATGTGTGACATTCATCAAGCTTGTGACCTTCAACTGTAAGATAATGTGGAATATAAGTGATTGCAAAAAAAGATGGAGGACTGCAAGATGAATTTGAATATCAATAAGCGAATAGCAGGAGGAGGGAGGGGGAGGGGTGTAGCAGGAAGATGAGAATGTGAGTTCAAATGGTTATAGTTATTTTCTAAATAAGAAACACTCCAAAATATATCATGCAAAGAAGAGTAATTTGGGTTCCTTTATAGGGAAAAATGTGCTATAAAATGTCATGTTTTCTTATGAAACTCATCTGTTTAGGTGAGATTGCATCTTCCAGTTGATGCTGGGACATTTGTCAGATGTGCTCCCTCAGGAATTGAACTAAAGCCATATAGATCTGAAATCAGCTGTTCTGTGTTGATCTCTGCAGCACTGTGGACCACAGCTGTATGATGTGGTGGTGTACAAGTTGAACTAGAACACTTTTGCAGGGCGACAGCAAACAGGCAGCAAGTTTAGTTTATGGAAAACGAAAAAAAACTAAATGTGTTTCGGCTTTGTTTAAAAGTGTTCACACACCTGCTTTAACATAGTGCTTAGAGCAGGTTTGTTGAATAAAGGTTGACACAAACTGGTTCAAAGTAAGTGAGAGGACAGGACATCAGTCACCGCCTTAAACATTTTTTTCGCTTCCACCAGTTTGGGAAACATTTTATTTATAATACATTTGACAAAATTACAGTTTCTCTTTATCTCAAAACCTTAAACTTACACCAATTATTTATTGGACATACAGTGTCAAAATGAAGCCCCATAACAGCCCAAACAAGTGTGCTCCTGTGCTCCATGCTTAAAATAGATAAACAACAGTGCGAAAAGTCAAAGAAAAGAAAAAAGACCCCGTTTATCACAAACTGGTTTAAAATAAGTGACAGACAAAGGAATCGCACATGGCATAAGATGTAAAAGAATTTATTACGTGAAGGCAAAACAATCCTAATTATGGCTCCTTATCATGGGGAATTAAAGCAAATGAAATGTATGGTTGCATTTCTGCTTCAGGCTTCTGTGCTAATCATTCTCTAAGAGGGATTGTTTATGTCAAAGCAATCCAACAAGATACAGCTTTGTATTAAGGCAAACACAATAGTTGTTCACTCTGACCTCCATGCACTCCACACAGCAGCATCTCATGTGTTTCATAAATAAAATAGTTATATTATGTACACTATACACAACTCCCTACAGCAGGTTAACATGGCTGCACCACAACACCCTGACAGATGTGAGGAGTTTAATCCCCAATCAAATCAAATCAAATGGCAGCGCTGCAAGGGAAACCACTTTAATCTGTGTGTATTTAATAATTGTCTCTGTCATCCACATGGAGTCATGTTTATTCTCTGGATGATGTCACTTCAGTTCTCCCCCCCCCCCTTGTTGCTCTGTATGTAATGCAGAGCTCTTTTCACAAACTCTGTCCAGTTCACACCCTGTTTATGAGGATCAAGTTCCAAAATGTCATTTGAATGCTGAATTAACTGAAAGCAGAGTTTTTACCAAAAACGCCAAAGTGTCTGAAGTAGCACTTGAAATGGTTTATTAGCCTTGATTTTGATTCTATGGAGAGATAATTTCCATTCAAGAGTCGAATATGTATGAGAAGTAGACTGGAGTAGATTGTTTTTCTGAGTGCCTGGTTCTCAGCAGCGTTCAGTGACATTGGCACTATGTCGATGTAAAAGACGCAGTCAGCAGGGGGCCGTCACTGCTCATTTCAAGTAATTATAAAGATGAAGAGCGCTATTCAGGCTGGATCACTACAAACTGCTTTTCTGTCTCTCCACTCTTCTGGACAAGTTTTGCAGCGTGAGCCAAGTCACACATTTGTCTCACACTTCACATGGCAGCAGGATTGTTATCTGCTGTTGTTGTTGTTGCTGCTGCACAACAAGCAAAAAGGAACAAGCTCAGCTGCTCTGCCACAACAACAGAAAGCCTAATAAAGGCAGCGGTGTGAGGTGCAGCCGGGGTTTTTCCGCTGAGGAAATGATTTCCAGAGAAGAGTTTTTATCAGGGAGGGACGTGTTGTCAGAGAAGGGCATCCAGAGTCCTTATAGTGAGAGAGTGGCAGTCACTTTTAAGAGGCAAGTTTCAGTGATGTGTGGCGGTTTAAAATACATATTTGTCATATGTGTGACAGTAGCAACAGCCATTGATTGATTACTCTAAGGCCTCTAAGAAATAGTATACATTACCCTCTGAGAGTTTATGTTTATCGCCCCATGTTGGAAATGCTTTCAAATGAGTTCAAAGGAATTATCACTGCAGACAAAGATACCAAATGTACACAAATCTGCAAAGAGAAGCAACATGACTGGAAACAGACCCCTTACACAAAACTAACCAAATCTGTGATGTCACAGTGGTGTTAATGTCGCACCTTGAACAGAACAGGGCTAAAGAGTCAACCAAGCATTGACAAGCAAATATTAAAAACAATGTGTCAATAAAATGACAGAACAATGACAAACATACATAACAGGCAGTATAAGTGCAAAGACATGAACAAGACACACAATGACAACAAAACAAGTACAGACCTAGAACTGCAAAGCAAAGACAAAGTTACTGCTGGAAGATAAAGTGACAGTGTCAGGAAACAAACAACAAACAAAAAGCAAAATGACTTCAGACACAAGGCAACAACAAAACAGGTACAGACACTTAATGTACAAAAGTAAGATATGGTAAATGACTTCAATGAGACACAAGTGTCACAACAAAACAACAGCAAATAAACAAAATAACTTCCAAGTAATGCAAAAAGACTTCAAAGGACAGAAAACACCCACAAATACGCATAATAAGTCCATACTGTTACCTAAATAAAAAAAAGAATCAAAAGCAACTTCAGGAAAACATAACAAATACTTAAAAGTACCAAGAATATACAAAATGACTACAAAGGAATACAAAAGGGGGGCAGCAGTAGCTCAGTCTGCAGGGACTTGGATTGGGAATTGGAGGGTCACCGGTTCAAGCCTCGGCACGGAAATTGGCCAGGTAGCTGGAGAGGTGCCAGTCCATTTCCTGAGCCCTTGAGCAAGGCATCGGATCCCAAAACTTCTCTGGAGATGCATCTCCATAGGATCCTGTGTGTGTATTTCAGCCTAAACAGAGTTTAAAAGTGGATTTCCCCTCGCAGGATAAAAAAAATATTATTATTAAAAGCATTTCAAAGAGACAAAACATGACAGAAACAAGTACATACAGACACATGACAAAGAACAGTGCCAAGAATGTCTTTGTAAGATTGAAGGGTCACAAAGAAAATACTCAGAAACTTCAAAAAGAGACAAAAACAAGAAAGAGAGACTAAATGGCTGTGAAGAGATGCTAATGAGCTCAAAGACACCAAACAACCACTTCAGAGGAAATTCAGTCTCTGTGGTTTAATGTTGCATGGGTGAGGGTCTGCTTCTTATTCGTCATGTCTGTGCTCAGGAGTCTGTTGTCTCATTAGTCTAACTGTTAACTATACCTTTTCAGCATGAAACACTTTACAGTCACATTACACAAGAGATTGTTCTGTCATTTTAGCCAATCATTAATCAATCAGACAACCATAAACAAGCAGATCAACAACTCTCCCTTCAGCTAGTGACCCTCTCCTCTGTCCCCATGGTAACCTCAGGCCACTATAGCGAGGAGCAGCCGTGACTCTTGCCACTTTGTCGGCTATAAATAATCGCTAAACAGGAGGCCAAATTCCTTGTTACCTCCCAGTTGTATTTCCTAACACGTTTATGCACATAAATCATCAGCTGACAGTGTGTTAAATCAGAGGGGACCCTGAGTGAATACTATATCAGGTCTGTGACTTCGCACTTATACAATGTGTAAGTGTAGGTTAAAGTACTGCGCCGGCATACAGAGAAGAGGTCATATTTCATTAAAGCGCCACTCTTATAGGTTAACATACCTCATGACCTTCTGCCCCGGTGTCATGTGTGAATTTAATTGGATGTGATATAAAACTAGTAAAGGCAGGATCGTTTTCACTTTGTTGAACT